GAAGGGGGTCAGCTTGTAGGTGTACTCGTTGGTCTTCAGTTCGAAGGTCTTATCGCGAATGCCATAGAACGCGTCCTCACCTGATCGGGGCCGCGTCAATGTGTGCCCATATGGGCGGGGAGTAGGGGGAAGAAGACGGGTGGGCGGATGGAAGCCCGTATGTCGTACCCATGTCGAGCTTGAAGTAGTCCTCGAGGTTGGAGATCTCCGTGGCCGTGTTCTCGACCTCGCGCCGGACGCTTCTCAGCCTGTCCCGCAGCTCCTCCAAGTCTGTCGACAAGCACCACCGCACGGTGAGAACCGCTGTGTGAGTGTGGTCACTCAAACGCCGAAGGTTGGAAACGAGAGGCACGAAAGCGACGCGACATAGAAGAGGAGCTGGCGGCGGGTGCGTGTGTATGCGCATGTGATGATCACCTGACATCTTCGCCTCTCCGGAGAGAGGCAAGGAGGTGGAGGAGAGGGAGGAGGGAGCAAAGCCGACGAGGAATCGCCACAGGCTCGCCAGAACGCCCTCCTCGGCCCCCACCTCCCTCTCCTCTCGGCCTCTAGCTTTGGAGGCCTTGTACTCTATCGTACGAAATTTAACCATGAATGACGTCGTTTTCGGGTGATTGCACGCACACACGCACACACGCCACACACGCCACACGCGCCAGAGAGCGAAAGAGAGAAAGAGAGAAACAGAAAGAGGGACGTGAAGGAGTGACGGTGTGTACCGGCGATGTCCTTCTCGGCCTGCTCGAGAGCCTCCTTGACGTCGTCGGTCCTCTCCAGGAGAACCTTGACCTCCTCTTGGGCCTCCTTCTTCTCAGCGGCCGCGGCTTCGTCCTCCTCGTCCTCCTCACCGTCCTCCTCTTCCTCGTCGTCGTCATCGTCAAGGCCCTCCTCATCGTCCTCTTCGCCGGCGGACTGGTCCTCGGCCTGCTCCTGGCCCGGGAGGGTCTCCTTGGGCTTGTACTGGGCCAGCAGCTCTTCGGCAGCCTTGGCCTTGGCCTCGAGCGCGTCGACTTGGGCTGTAGATCCGATTCACCACGCACCACGCACCACGCGGCACACACGAGCGTCAGTCAGTCAGGCAGCACTACGTGGAGAGAGGCAATCGGGAGGGGGGGGGATGGATAATGGGGCATTAGCCAGCCGACCTTGGAGGTCCTTCTCGTTCTGCTGCTTCTGGGCAAGGGCGGCCTTGAGCTCTTCGACCTTCTCCTGCTTCTCCTCGCGCACGCTCTTGGCCTCAGCCTCGTAGTCGCGCCTGATCCCCAAACCCTGCGCGCGTGTGCAATTGTGTGTGTGTCAACAGAGGTGAGCGACTCGGGTACAATAGGAGGAGGGACATGAGGGTTCGCTCCAAACCTTCTTGAAGGCCTCGATCTCCAGCCTCTTGGCGTTCCGGGTGTCCTCGCCGAGCGCGTAGCAGGTGTCCGGGCACTTCACCTTGCCGTCGTACTCGTCGCTTCCATCGCAACAATCTGTGTGCAGCACCGGTGGACGACGCGACCAGCACATGATGAAGGTGAGTCTCAGTCGCGAGAACGGCCAGAGCAGAGTCTAGACGCGCAGTTCTCGTACGTACCGCAGATGCCATCGTTGACGCGGGAGGAGAAGAGCGTGAGGCCGAGGTGACCGCGGTTGGGGCAGAAGAAGCGTCCGTTGTCGCAGGCACTGGTGCCGGGCTCGTCGCTGCCGTCCGCGCAGTCGCAGTAGTCGTCGTTTACCTTGGACAGCGGGAGGCCGGTCTTCGAGCCGTCCTTGCACTCAAACGTCTTGCCGCTGTACCGCGCCGCATCTGCGCCCATCATCACAAGAGCCACACATCAAATTAGTGCGGAATGTATTGAATTTACGAGGGCAGCACGTTTGCAGACAGGAGTAGCCCCCACCATATTCTCCACTCTTTTGAGAAGACGTACCGGAGGGATGGACACCGCGGAGATCAACTGCCTGGGCAAGGCTAATCGACGCCACAAAAAGGCAGCAGAGTGAGAGAAATGCCAAGCGTCCCATCTCGTTGGCGTGCTGGGTGGCTTTTTGTTTGGTCGCTTGTGCTACGTCACAGTTTTTTTTTGTTTTTTTCGTTTTTTCGTTTTTTTTTCGCTCGCCCGTACTGGCGTTACTGTTGGGCGTACCCAATCCAACACACCCTGCTGGGCATCAGGTTTGTGCTGGTCACGACAACCTCTACCAGCCTGGCTGCAACGTTGTGCGTGCGGCCCCGGTGAACACACCAGCGACGAGATGCAGAGAGTTGCACATTGGCAGCGCGTTTTGAGCGAAAAGAATGTGGAATGCAGCACATCCGCGGAAGGCTCCAGCCGCTTGCGCAGAACGGTCACACAACCGGGTGTCTTCGTGTGTCCGGGCGTGAGTCCCTGCCTCCTTGTTGCTGATGCTACACAAGCACAAACACGGAGGCCTTGCGCGCGGCTGCATTCACATAGACCCTTCCACCCTCCATCACCCACCACGAGACCATGGCGTCGACTCTGGTGTCCACCCTCGTGGCCACAGTCGCGCTCGACCACAATGGCAACGACAAGGACAAGCACAGCGAGGCTGTTGTGGGAAGGGCTACTGACAGCCATACACAGCCTGCCAACACCAAGCGCCCCGGCCTGCCCATCCATTCGTTCAATCATCTATCGAAGGAGACCGAGAATGTGGACGAGATGATTCGGTTCTACACCAAAGTCATGGGCTTCCGAAGAATCAAGCGACCACCGTTCCCCTTCGCAGGCGCGTGGCTCTTCATGCCCCCCAGCACCTCGCTCCACATCATCGAGAAAGATCCCAGCGTCGACCTTCCTGAAGGCCCGTGCGCTGCCGTCAAGAAGATGGGCAACTGGCAAGAGGTCGCCAAAAACCCTGCCTCTCTCAAGCGCGGTACCTTCATCTACAGATTTGTGTTTGCCTTTGTCTTTTCTTTTCTTTTCTGTTTTTTGCTCTCTGCACAGCCACGACGCATGACGCTCACCACGGTCTTGCACCACAGTAGGTCACCACATGGCGTTCAGGACGGAAGACTTGGGGCTGACCATGGAACTGCTGAAGGAGTACGGAATCATGTTTGCGGAGAGCGTGGTGCCTCAGACGGGCCAGCGGCAGCTGTTCTTCTTCGATCCGGACGGCAACGGGATCGAGATATGCGACTGCGACGTGGAGCCGCCGCCGTTCGAAGAGGAGGACGATGACCACTCGGCCGAGGGGCAAAACGGAGACGGAGGACGCAGTTCCACTGAAGCCCTCCAGCTCACAACTCAACTGAACTGAAGAACCCCGAATGGGAATGTACAGTCAAAGGAAAGGACGCCACAGAGGGAGGCGTAGTAATACAAGAACAAACATGAACCTAGGATCGAGTCGAATCGAAACCACAATGGCCGTACAGCAAGAAGCCGTCCTTTCGATGAACGCGCGCGTCAAGCGTTGCTCACCAGGCCCTTGAATTGGAACTGGCTATCGCTCTGGATGGCGCGACAGAGAACGCACCCCAGGCAGAATTCCTCGGTGCCGTTGGGCGGGTGGTACACTCCCAGCGGACAGTCGGAAGGCCCTGGCGCCGCAGAGAGAGAGAGAGAAAGAAGAGAGAGAATGGGCATGAGCAGAGCGGAAGCACAGTGAATGTACTCACAAGGTACGACGAGGAGTACCGTTGCACTTGGGCGCGGACTTAAGGTACTCTGGAACGGTCTTCCATTCGTTGAAGTCAACTCGCTCAGCTGCGCGCGGAGGCAGCACGGGGGTCAATAGGGATCGCGCTCCATGAGATTCTCTCGAGAGGGGCGGGGGGTGTTGGTACCGGGTACGCCGTGGCAGGGGTCGCAGAAGCGGGCCTTGCCCGCACAGAAGTACGTCGCGAGCCGGCAACAGAAACGGCACTTCCACTGCAGCAGAGAAGAGGAGGCGATGTTATGTTATCACGCGTAGGCCTGGGCATTTAGCACACGCAAGGCGTAGCGCGTGAGGTGGGACCCACCTCCATGTATTCTTCGCCGTGGATCAGGCACGTTTGTCCGGACGTGTTGCTGCAGGCGCCGCACACCAGTTCCTTCGGGTTGAAAGCTCCTCCTGAGCGAGACGCGCCGTGGTGGTTAGTGTGGGGTGGACGTCCCCTGGCAGGAATGAGATGGCGGAGGTACCTTGAGCTCCGGCACCAGGGGGTCCACCCATGTTGGCGCACTCCTTTTTGCCGCCAAAGTAGGGCGACCGGCAGCGGTAGCACATGTAGAACGCAAACGTGTCCGCAGCGAACCTGAGCCACCGCAGCCGCACGCGCTCAGTTTCACGGACACGTGCGGGAGGAGGAGGTGGGAGAGAGAGAGGTACTTTTCCGGGTTGTTGAAGTAGGGACTGTGCGGGCTCACAAGGGCGTCGTCCTTCTTCATGCCTGTAGCGAGGACGAAGGCCGCAAGTAAACGGCCGCGGTGAGTTGTGGCCTCTGGTGCGGAGCAAGCATATGGAGGCGGCGAGTGACCGTACCTTCGATTGCAATCCGCTCAACACCGGCCTTGGTGACGTACTTCTCCAGCTCGAGCAACGGCTTGAGCTGCTTTTGGAGCGAGGGATGGTCCTGTGTGGCGCAGACGAATATCGCAGGACGTCAAAAAAACTCCATCGTTGCATCATTCCGGGTAAGCGCGGCCGTGATGCGGTGACGAACCATGCGGACGTTGCAGAGTGGGCAGTCCATGAAGGCAAAGGAGATCACGGCTGTGGGCCAGCCCTCGGTCTGTTGTGTAGGTGAGTGAGCACGTGTATCGATGCGGTGTATGACGGTGAGGGAGGGCGTGCCAGCTTCTTCTTGGCGCAGTCGTAGTGGAACAGGTGACCACAGCCGGTGAGCGAAATGCAGGGCTTGGCGCCCAAGCCTTCGACCCAACATATATTGCAGTAATCATCCTGCGAGTTGCGGGGGAAAGGAATGGGGTGGATCAGTGCGCCGCTGCCGCACCACACTGGGGGTGAACCGCCAAGCCCGCATCTTACCTTGGTCTGTTTGTCGTCTTGCACGCAGTCGGGGTGGATACAGTGCAGACATTCCTGCAGCAGCAGCAGCAGCACGTACACCATACCCAAGGTCGCGTGAGGTGTCGTCCACAGTTGTCGACACAGTGAAAGCATAGTCGGGGTACGTACCCTCTCCAGGGCCAGGCCGTAGCACTGGTGGTTACAGTCCATGTGCTTAAAGCACCGCCTTTGGGCAACGAACAAACGAACACGTCAACTGGGTGTTCGAGGGGAGACAAGAGGTCTTATGTAGTACGTACCGCTTGATGGCTTTCCGGCACTCGACTTCACCGCACCACTCGTGTTCCAGAATGGCCGTCTGTTCGGTGCAATGTCCGCACAGTCGTGGAGGGAAGTCGAATAAGCGACGCGGCCCGCGCACGACAAACGAGAGAGGGCAGCGCCCCAGAGCACACAATGGGGACAGGTGCGTACCTCGAGCTCGGCGCGTTCTTGCTTCTTCGCCTCTATTTCCTTCCGCAGGATCTCCTTCTTTTGGTTGCACTCATCTCTGCGTGCGCCCCGCATGCGACAAACCAACAGCGTTAGTCTGGACCGTACGCCTTTTAGGGAGCGGCAGGGCGCACGTACTGCTCCTTAAGGAAGCGCTCCATTTCCTGTCGGTCCCACGCCTCCTTCTCGAGCACCAGTTCGTCGCGGACCTTGCGTACGCGTCGCTTGCGCCAGAAGAAGATGCCTCCGGGCACCCTCGGGATGTCCTTGGCGAAGGCCTGTATGGGGGCCGGATCCAGGTCATCGCCGCCAAGTATGTCGTCGTAGTTGAGCTCCTCGGGTTCCTCTTCTTCTACGTGAGGGGGCGGCTGGACGACGTGCTCGTCATCGCTGTCGCTCGCGCTCTCGGTCTCGCTCCCGGTCTCCGACTCTTCGGTCTCGCTCTCGCTGCAGCTCTCAACCTCGCTGATCTCGCTACTCTCGTCACTTGCCGAATCGCTGTTATTGCGCGTGAGGTGGACCACATCAGAATGGCGTACGGCCCATAGACAAAGGGCTGAGAGTGTGGAGAGCTCAAAAGAAAGGGGGGGACCTTGAGCGCTTGAGGGGCCTGCGCGCCTTTTTGCCCCTCTTCCCTTTGACCTCCTTCTCTTCCTCGGGGAGAAAGAAGGCGGCCAGCAGGCCCTCCGCCCCGATCTCCGAGGCTACGCTTTCATCGCTCGAGCTGCTGCTTGCACGCAGGACGTCCCTCGCTTCCTTGGCTGGATCCACCTCGGCTTCTGCCTCGTGCTCCGGCTTCTTTTCTACCTCTCCCTCATCGTCGTCATCTGCTTTCTCCTTTCCCTTTTCCACTTTTTCGGCCTTCTGCTGTTCCTTATCACCGCCATTGTCGCACGCCTGTTCATCGGCCTTCGCCTCTTCCTCCTTCCGCTTTTGCTCTTGCTCGACATTCGCCGGCTGGTCGCCCTCGTCTGGCGCTGACTCGACAGTCGCGGGCCCCGAAGCGACTTCTTCACCGGATGGCGGTTCCTCCGCACCTGATAACAGCGCATCGGCCAGCTCCGCGGCCATGTGCCCCGAAATGCTGAGGTCGCTCGGCGCCTCGATGTTCAAGATGGCGGCGGCATCGTCGAGTATGTCCTGATCCACCTTCTCCTTCTCCTTCTCCTTGCCTTTATCGCTCCCCGCTTCTTCTTCTTCTTCTTTCGCCTTCTGCTCGTCCTTCTTGACGGGCATGTCACAGATGATGCAGTGCTTGTAGCGACCATACATTTGATACTGTTGGCACGTGTACCCTGCACTCCCCCAACGGTCGTGCGAAGTGAGTCGGGGCATGTGTGCTTAGAGGGTGGTAGGTAGGGTTACCGGCGTGGTACGGCGCGGTCGTGCACGCCGAACAGAAGATGGTGTCGCATACGCGGCACCGGAATCTGTACTCGTGGTAGTGGGCGAGCGCCGGTCCCACGATGGCCTTGCCCTCGTCGTCCTTGACAGGCACTCTTTTCTCCTCCTGCGTTGCATGCATGAGTGAGGCCGGTCGTCAGTATAGGAGAGCAGCTGCGAGTTGCAGGGCGGGAAGGAACCTCAGAGGGCGGCAAGCGCTCGAACGCCACCCCGCATTCCTCCTTGGGGCACATGATGAAGCTTTCATTGGACTCGATGAAGACCCTGCCATACCGCACAGAGAACGGGCGGACTGGTGAGCAACAGCACGCATATGTACATCCACCTCTTGGCCTCACCCTCCTGCTTACCGAAGCGATGCACTAAGCTTGGAGGGGAGACTCTGCTTGAGGTGGCTGTGGCCGGGGTGGGCCGACACGAAGGACGGCCCCTGCTTTCCGAACACCGCCAGCCCTGCAAATACGACGGTATTGCAGCCGTGCGTAAGCGGCATGGCCATACGCGCGTGGAGGGACGGGGCGACGGCACCTTGCTTGAGGTCGTCGACCGACACTACACACTTGCAACTCTCCAGCGGGCAGGTGAAGTCGCGGTGCTTGGACAGCGCGAGCGGCTTCTCTTTGGCCTCCGCCGCTGCCTCCTCGCCTGCGTCGGCCTCTTTCTCCTTGCCCTTGTCGTCGGCCTCTCCCCGAGCGCTGTTCTCATCGCCCGCCACGGACACGCACACTGTCACTACCTTCTCGTCCTTGTTCTCGCGCGCCACTGAGTCTTCGTTTATGCCGCTCTCGCTTTCCCGCTTGGTCAGCTCGGCTTGCAGGTGATGATAGAGACACTCGACGCAGTAGCCATGCCCGCACAGCTCCAGCACGTAGAAGGACTACCGCGGGACACAGCACGGCATGTGATGAATGAACTGCGCCATGTGTAGAGGGCCAAGGGCGATGGTGCGTACCTTGCCGGCGACGACGAACTCCCTCTCGCACAGGAGGCACATGTCCTTGGCTTGCTCCTCCTCACCACCCACTGGGCTGGTAACGCTCGCCGATGGCGTCACGCCCATCTTCTGCGATTGCGCCAGGAAGCCCTTGACCAACGCCATCTCGTCTTCCACGGCCTCAGCCTGTCCCCCATAAAGACGCACCTCGTGCATTAGTAAGCCGACGCACAGGCGCGCCCACTCGAGGTGGCGAGGCAGAGCACCTGCGACGGGTGCTGCGGCGACGAGGAGTCCGCGGTCGTGGCGGCTGTGGTCTGGCCGGTGGCGGTCGCAGCAGCAGCAGCAGCGGTTTCGGCGGTGGTGGCAGTCGTGGCGGTGCCGTTGTTGTCCTCCTCGGAGGAGGAGGTGACGAGCTTGGACATGGTGAGGGTGGAGTACTTTTGCAGCTTCTGCGCACGCCTGCCGGACGCCTTGGTGGGGTGACGCAGCTGCACGCCCCCATCGCTGCCGCTCGCCTGCTTCTCCCCGTGAGCTACTGCGCCGGAGCCGTGCCTCTTCCCCTTTTTCTTTGCCTCCTTCTCTCCGTCGCCGCCGTGCTGAGGCGGGTCCACAACTCGCCCGGGCTGTGCATTACCCATGGGTGCTGCAGGAGCACAAGTAAGCACCTGAGAGGACAAGACTCTTGCGGGGGGGGGAGAGAGAGAGAGAGAGAGATTGATTGGAGGAGAGAACCTCCGTTACTTGCTTACAGTGCCAACGTTGGCTTTCTGGCACAAGACGATGAAAAGAGGGGGCAGTCTCTCGTCCAGCTCCAAACCTCCTGCGTAGTTTGTGGTCGTCGGATAGCACACGAAACAATAGAAAGGAGGAGAACTGTCCTCTTTTCTATTGTTCGGAATAGGGAGGGCAGATTCGCCGAACAAGGCGCTGTCTGTGGCCGTGGTGCGGCGCAAGTCAGTACCACGCCCCTCACATAGCGCGTAGGCCTGACAGTTCCGCTGCAGCGGCCGAGGCGGCGGCGTGGTCCGGTGAAGTCTCGTGTAGCGCGCGTCATATCGACCGTGACGGCGGCTATGCGGAGGGTCTCAACAACGGCGGGCCTAGAGACGGGGACACGATCGACACATCACCACCTTCGCACCACCTTCATAATCACCTCCGGCCTTCACCATCTTTTTGAAATGGAAATTCGTTGCCTTTTCAAAGTATTTCTGCTGGTGTTTCTCCATCTTCATCTCGAGCTCTGAAGCAGGTGTACAGCCACTATGGAGTCTTCCCCAGCAACGTCGAAGAGATTGAAGACGTGCGGCCTCTTTATTATTATATTATTATATTATATTTATATTTATATTCTTTCACATTATATTTTGCCACTCACTCGTGAGCATGCAACCATTACTAATCAATCGACCAATCAATCAGGGCTTTATGGTGCCGCTGCAGCAGGCGGGGTTCCTGACGAACGACGATAAGGCCAAGCTGTTCTCCCACGTGGAGCTCATTTTGAGGGTCAGCGAGACCATCCTCCTATTGGATGCAGCTCGAGGAGCGCACCAAGGACTGGTCCTTCGAGACCTGTCTCAGCGATGTCTTCCTCGCGCTGGTACATTACACGACACACACGACACACGGCACGGCACACACGAACACGACACCCGCGACACAGGACTCACTTGCGCGTGTGTCGTAGATCGTGTGCCGTGTGCGTGTGCGGCGTGTCGGTAGTCGCCTTCCTGCGGATGTACACGACGTACATCAACAACTACACCCAGGCCGTCTACACCTTTCAGCGCCTGCAGCCCAACTTTGCGCAGATGGTCGAGGTCCGTTCTTTTGCCGCACCCATACCCCAGCACTTCCGGCTGACGCGCAATCTCGTGTCTCGTAACTCAACACCCTCGTGTGTCGTGTGTCGTGTGTCGTGTGCGTCGACAGAAATGCAGGGACCACCCCGAGGCATCAAGCTGTCGTTCCAGGACTACCAGATCATGCCCGTGCAGCGCATACCCCGCTACGTGCGAGTACGGGAAGAGCTCAACTACTGCTGAAAGGGGCGAGGCGATCGTGGAGAGTGAGTGCGCGCAGAGAACGAGCAGAGAGGACGAGGAGTGGTGGATCGCTCTTGTCTTCATCACCCGGCGTTCGGCGCGGGGTAGGCGGGGATGATCGCCCGCAGTTTTCGGTCGGTTCCAGCCCAAACCAGCTCCTTGAACGTGTAGTAGTACTTCTCCTCGAACATGACTGTCCCTTCCACGGTGAGCTCTCCACGACACGACACGCAACATACGACCGCACACGCGCAGCACACGACACACGACAGGAGGGCAGTGGCGCACCCGTCTTCGTTCGGTGATGACGAGGATGTCGTTGAAGAGGAAGAGGTAGCACATGGGCGAGGCCGCCTGAGTGCCCCGGACGATCCGCTTCACCTCCCCCTCGTGGACCAGCCGCCGCGAGGGCTGCACCGCCTTAAAAGGTGCACCTCTCCCAATCTTTCACACCTTTCTTCACTTCTTCAATCATCCCATGCTTTGTTGATGCTCACACGCCACCTGTGGTGCTGCTGGCTCTGCAGAACTTCCAAAATCTGCAGTCGGCCTACAACCAGAAGAACGCCTGCCTCGCCACCATCCCGGCCGCGTCCACCGCGCCCGCTGCCGATGCCGCCACCACGCCCGCCAGGCGGGACGTGACCTTCCCACTCTCCCCACCCGTGCACCAAGCATCGCGCATCTACTCATCATCTGTGTATGTTCGCCTGTCGTGGTGTGCAGAGAGCGGATGAACGTGGTGCTGGAGAGTCTCGCCGGTTGTCTGTCGGAGCGCATCATGGAAAACGACGGCAACGTTGCCGAGCCCCGCCTCTCCTATCTTCGCAGCTGTACGCGCGTCCGCCGTCCTTCCTCTCGCCCTCCTCCTCCCCGTAACCACCACGTCCCTGAAGAGCCAGAGGAGGTGAAGAGCCGGCCGAGAGAGTGCACACCATTCAGACAGCGCACATGACACGACACGACACGACACACGGCCCACACAACACACGGCTCTCTTCTGTACATAGAAGCCAAGAGAGAGTGGCTTCTTCGCCTTGTTGCCATGGTGGCACAGCTTTTCTTTTCAGTTTCATGGTGGTGGTGCCGCATTAGGCAAAGGGGGGGGGGGTACCCGTCGACCGGCTGAAGATTTCACCACCAACACCAGACCTATTGCCTTTGTGGACTCGAGTGCGCCTGAGAGCAAGCGGCGCGCTGCCCAAGAGCCGGACGAAGCTACCGGTATGTGAAACCCCCCCCCTTAAGCCGACGACCGCAACAGAAGAAGGAGAAGCACAATCTATGCGGTGGTCATCTTGGTTTGGAACTAGGTCGGTGGTCGTGATTTATTGTAGTTCTTCAGTCGTTGGTAGCACCACTATTGTTATTATTATTATTCGTCTCTTGTCGTACTACTCGAGGTCGCAGCTGAGTTGTCTGTTCGCGCGGCCTCTGCTCGCCGCTTCATCGACCACCGCCGTAACTTGCGATCACACGAAGAGAGATGAAAAGGCAAGCGGGCGAAGAGTACTCTTGGTGTCTTGGCCAACCACCACCACTCGACGGGCCACATCCAAAGCGCTTCGAAGTTGAAAGAGAGATGCAAGCGTTGGCCCGGGGGGGGGCTTGGACAGGGGGAAAGGGAGGCACATCGGAGCAGTGGTGGGTCGTGTGCAGCGGTTGCAGCTAAGAGAAGAGCCGCACATGCACGTCCTGGCGGGGGGGGGGCAGTACAGCCGCGAATCTTGTGCAGGCCGCCGTTCGTGAGTCGTGATGCGACATCGTTGACGGCGGCAGAGTGGAGTTGGCGCGTGCAGCTACAGAGGCTGAGGGAATCGTCATGATGGGTACCTGCAAAGAAGCTTCTTGAGGTAGAAGATGTAGAGCAAGTAGTGGACGTCGGCATCTTCTGGGGTGGAGTGATGCTGTTGAACATGTCTCTTAAACGTCGTGGCATCACGTTCGACGTTCAAAGTTGCCAAGCGTGATAGCAGCTACGATGTTGAGGCTCGATGGGCAAGGAGGGAGGAAGAGCAGCTGAGTGGTTTCGATTTGACCCCAAGAGGTGTGCTGTTGGGACCCATCTCTCTTGCGTAGTATACTCTAACATCTCTCGGGCTATAGATAGGCGAGGAGATGGCGGCGGAGAAGATGAGGTGGCGAAGGGGCGAGAGATGTGTGGTGCCCTGAACGTTGCTTTCGCTTCCATCTCCGCGCGCCTGCTTTCCGTTGCCTTCTCTTGAAGTATTCCAGCGATTTACTAATTACCGCTTCTAATTGGTGTTCTTTTCCGCGTTTCTAATTGGTGTCTTTTTATGCGTTTCCACAACTTCCCTTTTTGGGCTGTGGTGGACGGGCACCTTCTCAAAGAAGAAGGTGGAAGGTTTGCTTTTCTTTTGTCGTCTCAACCAAGCAAGCAACTAACAGCACGATGAACAACACCATGAAGTTCACCATCTGGTTCATGGCGATGATGGCCCTCATGATCGGGCTCACCATCACCACCATCCCAACCGTCGCCGCGATCTACTCCACCGTTCGAGTTGAACAGTCGATGGTCCCCCAGGCTGGCTTCACTTCGACCAACTACCACCACTTCTGGTCGGCGTTGGTGGCGAAGGTCGCCCGCTCCATGAAGGAGCTGCCACCGGTCCGTGTCGGCCGCCATTACTTGGCGCCCGAGAAGAGTCTGATGACTCTGTCAGATGAGCACCGCGGCTACTACACCAAGTGTGTGGTCTCGTTCGACATGGTGATCATCATGTCGCTCACCCTCATCCTCAACAAGGCCATCCATGTACGTCCCCCCCCCCATCTTA